CAAAATGTGAAAAAGTTCAGAGTTTAAATGGTTTTGGAGAATACTTTGATAAACTACATGAAAGCATCACAGCTGTTTTGTTTGTGGTACTACAAGCCAAGTTTTTTTTTTCCTGAAACTTAAGCACTTCTTTTTTCCCCTCCCCTGCTCAGCTGGTTGCTAGGACGACGACCCGAGTACACCGACCCCAAAGTGGTGGCACATGGGGAAGGCCGAGAAGGTCCGTCACGCTTACCGTTCTTTAATGAGCCGAACTGCCGTAGTTTCCACAGCTTCAGCTGAGTAGTGAAAACGAGAGGAAGCATTATGAATCTTCTTTTCCGTTTTAGTGACGAGGGTTCGATCTCAGGGCTTCGTCACCGTCTCCTTCCACATAATGACCAAAGACATGAAGAGGATGGGCTACGACACGGGACCGACCAACTCGTCAACCGTCCAGTCCGCCACTTCCAGTCAGTCAAGAGATGCGCAATGATACGCGAAGTAACATGAAAGCTAACTGGAGTCGCTACATATCAGTTGTCAATGTGTCTGAACTCCAGCTCAGATTGGACTGCAAACACTGGAAACTCGGGGAGTCTGGTTTTGAGACCCCAACTCAAAACCAGAGCATTCTGATTGCTTCTCAAAGTTGCCTACAGAGTCATATCTGTGGAGTGGAGGGGCTTGGTAAAAAGCCTCAGACTCTGCTGATGTTGCATCCAACGCCGCAGGAGGCCGTGATGGTAAGGAAGAGCTCTGTTGCCACGTTGGGTCTACACAAAATGTGAATATTGGTTAGAAAACGTCAAAGCCCGACGCAGAACGTTTGTATTTTCAGCTCAACATGTAGTTTTACTTCTCGAGACACGGACAAGTTCGCTTGCAACCCATGGCGTCGTCGTGTGGAAAGGCTTCAGATGAATTTGACAACTGAAAATGTTAATCCATTTATTCACTGGATATTCTAAATGCCTTGTTATCACGAATAGGAAAGTTTCAAATTTTGTCATCTTTAAAAAAAAAAAAGTGTTAAATACTTCCATATTTTTGATACTAGCTCCTTAATTTAAAGCTGTAAATTTGTTCATTGAATCCATCTTTTAGTGGGAGTTCTCTGCCTACTTTCAGTCGTCAGATTTAAAACACTGGCTGACGAAATTGAGCTATTAGATCCGTTATTTACTAATAGCTCCCTTGTCATAGAGCAGAGTGTGTTTAATTAGATTTGGCTCAACATTGGACACATTTCCTAGAATGTGCAACTACGTAATGGTTTGAAATAGCCATGGTGTAAAAGCATCTTCTGGCATCAAGTACGTTAAATGAATGTCTCACTTCCCTTAATTGACTTAGGTCTTGCATGTAACATATAAAAGGTCCTAAACTGATGTTGAAACGTTTGACATTTAACAAAAACCTTTAAGAAACATTTTATAAAAAGGTTTGGGAGCATTTATGCACCCTCCTCTGTCAATAGGACAATACTTTATCATCTTGCTGGATGATACCAACCCCACACCAAGTTTTCTGGCGGAGGCCACCAGATTTTCATGACAAATATCCAGTGGTTTCAAACAGTTTGTGATGCAATGAACAAGCCCACAATATCACAAATCACCATACTTGACAATGGACTTTTTCATTCTATGTTTTACTCATCAGTGTGCGGTGGCGCAATAAATGAGTCCTTAATAATATGCGTCATATCTATACTACAAACCTCTAAGGAGTCCTTAGAGGTTTGGAGAAACTGATCAGTACAAATTCAGAAATTAATTTTAGCTGAAGTTTTAGAAATACCTGCAGTTTTGTCAGTCATTTCTCACGATTATCCAATTGTAAATTTATTGTCAAGCTTTGTATCCGAGATGCCAACAGTTTTTGCATCAACACTCACTTTACACTCTTACAGCTGACTGGCGTTAAAACCAAGCAACGCAGTCCAGAAATACAAACGGCTTGATGCTTGGTACTTCTAGATATATCCTGTATTGTATAGTTGCACCTTTTTTAAGCATTTTCTTAATAAATTCTAATCCAACCATTGGTGTCGTTTAGTCCATACCAAGACCCGATTGATTTCGATTTACTTTTCGATCGTCAAAAATCAAGAAAAGACAACGAAGGCTACGGAGCTGAAGTGAAATACATTTTATTTTTGAACCAATGCAACTACAGCTGTCCTCATCCAAACAGGGTTCGGTCAGCTGCGCTTGCTCGTTTAGAGGCCGTTAAAATACCACAACTGTTTGTTTTTTTTCCTACAAAAACCCATTACACAGAATAATAAGGTATACAGAAGAACAGTATGTTACAATAGTACAAATGATAAATTATATTATACAGTTATAATGCCAAAAGGTAGAGCACAAATCCAAAAAAAAACCAACAACAAAAAAAAAAAAAACGCAATCTGCTCCCAGTACTAAGAAAAGGGTAACTAGTCAGACAGGAGAAGGGAATAAAAGGAGTCAGTTTATGCATATAAAGACAAGACAACTCATGAAGTCAGTTAGTTCTCTGGAGAGGAACAAAAAAAAAAAAAAATTAAAACGTATTTAGTACATGACTCGGAGGCGCTCGCTGCATGGGCCGCGTTTTCACTGAACCACAGTGACGAAATCTGGTTATTAATATTTCAATATGTCAGTATAGACTTTATTAGCAACCCAAGCCCTCTTCTCTACCTACCCTCACCAAGCTTGCATAATGTTTCCTAGAGATTAAAACACATTTGCTGGTTTGCAAGTACGCTTCACACCCGTTCGTTCGAGCGCAAAAACCATCATAGCCATGTCAAGAATGTCCCATATCATACACACTTGGAGCAGCTCCTCTTGTTCTTTTTTTTTTTTTTTTCCATTTTTTGTTTCGCCTGAGAAAAATGGGGAGGTCTGCGTTCAGTGGAAGCATCCAAAAGATCTGCAGTGAAGCCACGTCATACCACAAGGAGGCGACAACCCAATCCAAATGGAAGCAACAACAACAAAAAAAAATAAATAATTGAACACCCCACAGATTTAAAGGGAATATCTGAACATTCTGAAGTGAAGGAGTGTGAAGTCGTCAGTAATAGATCCATAACCTGTAGCAGATTGATGGAAATGTCCACAGTGGGTTTATAGAAAAGAAATCCTCAAACTGGACAGCAGGGAGAGACAAACTTAAAATAAGTTAAACTCAAAGGGTTTAAGCTCATGGAGTCCTATTAATGTTTTGTTTGAAAATTTCCAGGGTCAAATCTTTTTTGGATTTCCCTGGACAACTGAATGCAAAACATTCACCACAAACTGTGCAAATCGTCAAACAACCGAATGGGGAACTTTTGCGTTTAAGAGCTAGTTCATGTCATTAAAATAAGGAACGAAGTCGGGAAACGCAAATATTTTTTCCCAAACTTATTTCTGTTCCACCCTGTTATGAATACTTGGCAAATGCTTAAAATTAAATCCGTTACCTTTCCAGATTACGTAGTACTCCAGTAACACTATATTCAATGCAACATGCGTCTATGTTGAGGTTAAAATGGCTGCTGGCTGTATCTCTCCGCTTGTACTCGTCAGGCAAGGAGGGCACACATTTTTGGATTTTGTTACATTTTTCAGAGGTGCAGACCCCGGGATCAGGTGGACTGATACAGCAGCTGGAACTCTAGCATGGATACATGCTCGGTTAACACAGAACTGTACCGTCTGGATATGAATATTTGCTTGAAATGACTAAAATCGGAGTAGGTTTCCTTTGACTAGCTGCCAGGGTTTCTTCCTTTTTGTACAAGCTCACTGTGAAACGGCATCTGCCCATTACAGGATAGGAAGCTATTGCCATAAATTACTACACAGAACTTCATAGAAAAAAGAACTGTCCCTTTAAAAAAAAAAAAAAAAGAAAAAAAAAAGGAATGGGGAAAGTCTACAAAACCTGTGCATTTTATTTTAAGCCGCAATTCATCAACCCACTTTTCTTAACCAGCAGAAGAGACAGGGAAGCTCAGACTTGCTTTCTGCTCATCTATATATAATCAGCCAAAAGTAACACTATGTAATCACATAAACACTTGACAAAGCCGTAAATTAGCACAGAGTTATGAACTTGTCTCGTCAAAGAGCCTCTTAAATCATAACCTTTAATAAACAACAATAACTAAAAAGAAAAAAAAATGTAATGCTAACTAAGTGTGACGTTACTGTTCCACTTACCGTCACAAGAAACCAACAAAAAAAACAAATCAATCGCTGACTTCGGTAACAGTTGTGCTTCAAGGAGTAACATGACCAACCCACAGGGCAACAAAACCAGAATGAAAATGGAGAAACTACTAAAACACGGCTTTTTTTCAGTAACAAAAAAAAAAAAAAAAAGTAACAACTAACCGTTTACATTGTTGTTTGCTGTGGAATTCCACTGTGCCATTAACAGTCCTGTGCGAGTGTGTGTGTGTCTGTGTGAGAGACAGACGCACACATTGTGATTATCTAAGAGATTACCTATAAAACAGAAAAGTCCTGTTGGATGGGAAGGTTCTTCTCAAGGCTGAGACCTCTTCACCACAAACCAAGTTAGTTAGTTAATAAGTTCACTAAACTGCCCTTTGTTTTAGGTTGCAAAATCTAACAGAAGGTGAAAATAGAAAAAAAAAAAAAAAACTTGAGTAAAGTACACTTGGAAGCTAAATGTGCGTGCGCACACACACACACCGTCTCTCATCCCTTTAACCCTAGAAAAAAAAAAAAAAAGTTCCACAATGCTCACCTGCATCCACTTGTTCGACTCGGAAAATACTGACACAGTTCGTCTTTCTCTTCTAAAAAAAAAAAGACAAATCGCTGACCGGGGTGGAGACGCAGTAGAAAAACGCTCCGACGTGTGGCTGTTAGCATCTGAGCAGTACCGGCACGACTGCGTACGAGCACATACACACGTAGAAAACATCTTTCCTGGCCTCTCTGCAGTCTTTCAGGACTGAAAAGAGCAGTTCCATTTCCTCTAAGGGAGTGTTCATTTTATTTTTTATTTCGTCAAAGTTCAGGTCAGGAAAAAAAAAAGAAGAAGATCCGAAGTGAAGATGAAGGGTTCGGACTGAGTTAGTACCAAGAGCCGAGGCAGTGTACGGGTGTGCCTTGTTGTTTGTTTTGATCAGACTTACTCTGTGAGCTAAGGTGTAACGGTGAGTCCAACAGTCGCTGAAAATAAAAAATAAAAAAACAAACAAAAAAAAAAAGCAAAAATTGTGCAAAATTCCTGCTTTGTAACACACACAACATACACGCAGGGAGTATAAACACATCTCTCATCCTTAATCCAGTGTGTTGGAGGAAAACTCACTGGGATATACACAGTGTAAAAGCACTGAGACGTGCACTCGCTCACACACGCATACACACAGACACGCTAGAGCGGATAGGGCTTATAAAAGATTAGTTCTAGAGAAAAGATAAGATGCTGGAATTAGTACAGGCTGACTCTCCGGTCACCCCATCACGAAAAAGAAGAGGAAAAGAGCATTCCGAAAGGGTGGACAAGAGGAAGAACGGAAGGAGAAACTGGGTCCAGTCCCACCCTGGTGGAAACTCTGAAGTCCGTAGACGGGTGCAAAAGATCTGTGTGGTCGCCAGCATCATGTTAGGATCAGCCTGGAACTCACGAGACGAGGCAGCTTGTAGCTGAGCAGGACAGGAGCAGAAACAGAGTCAGGAAGTATTTTAGTCGGGCACCTGGCTGGGAGTGGCTTATAGATGGATACACGGGATAAAATATCTCCTTGTTAGTGTCGAGGAGCAATTGAAGGAGAAAGCGGGTCCTCCTTTCACAAGAGGAAGGGGTTGGTGGTTCCGGCGGGTTGCGACCCGGCCTGGGGGGGCATGCTCATCAACGGCTGAGGCATCGACATGGAGGGCGGGATCCCGGCGCCCACGCCGCCGCCCGTGCCGGGCATCCCGTGGCCCATGGGGGCCATCCCTGCCAGGGGGACCATGGTGACGGGCTGAGCGGGCACGGAGGCCAGCGGCATGGGCTCGGCCATGCTGCCGAAGCCGGAGGGCATCGGGCTGACCCGCATCTGGTTGAGGGTGGGGGGAACCGGCTGGGTCATTTGGAACGGGTTGGCAACTGGAGCAGGAGCCGAGCCGCCTGGATGGAGCAAACCGTCGGTCAGTTCAGCAGAAATATCAGTTTTTTTTTTGTTCTTAGGTGTGCAATTAAAGTCAAGATGATAGCAGAAATATTCAATTATTTAAGTACATTTATTTCTGATTCACAACTGTTACCCGCTTTATGTCGCTTTTACTTCAAGTTCGTTGGCGTAACGAGACAAAATTATAAAATATTCAATCGGTATGAATGGTTTAGCAAGTTTATGTTTAAAAAAGAAAAAGAATCATCTAAACTCCTACCTGTAGCAGCCAAGAACGGGTTAACGACGGGCGCGGGCTGAGCCGGTTTGGTCACCAGAGAGTCCAGATTGACCAGCGCCGCATTGGGTCCCAGGAAGGACTCCGGAGTCTTTCTGGTCGGGTTTGTGGAGATCGAAGCGGAAGTGGGCAGCGGGTCGAAGAGGTCCAGGCTGCCGCTACTGGCCAGACTGACTTGGGAGGGGAGAGAGGACGTTATGCCCGCGTCGGCTGAAAACGGAGAGAGGAAGGAGGACGTTAAATCCACTGATGAGAGGGTTTTGTATTGAGCGAGCAAAACACTGGACTGGCATCTCTCAAGCGTAAATATTTCTTGCACATTAATCCTCTGTCCGCTACACACAAACAAGCGTCTCTCCATTTGCACTTAAGAACTTCTGTTTACGATGGCGTATATAAAAGACGATGCCATTATGAGGGATGTCAGAGGCAGACAGACTGGCTGTCATTGGTGGCAACAGTCAGACGGCAGTGGAGACGCTCGTTAGTGCATTAATCCAACCTCAACATGCCTGCGGACACAAGGAAATGTCAGAGACAAAAACCGCCGTCGCGCAGCAGGAAGTTTGACACCGTCTCCGACAATTCAAATAAGGAGATCGAACTGATTTAGAGTGTTGGTGTGCGAACTGCTAATACACTTTGATGTTTATTTCAGTTGGAACTGAAAAATATCTAAAGATGAAAGGCGTTTTCTTCTCTTCGGGTTCTTTTTTTTTTTTTTTCCTCGGTGTTTATTTGAGCTAAAGCTTAGATCCAGCCACCTAAATCCCTTTACACCTTCAAAAACTAAGAAAAAACACTTAGATGGAAATCCATTCAGAATCTGGTTTGAGTTTAAATTTGTTCGTTTTGATTCCAATTGAAATTAAATATCACAGATCTGAGCGGGTTTCCATAGTTTAGCCTGACAGAGGGGCCAACAGTGAACACAAATAGATAATAAAAACATCACAGTGATAAGAAAAAAAAACTCAAAAAAAAAACAAAAACAAACAGACTTGAGCCAGGCAGTTTATTTCCGTGGAGAAAGAATGTCTTTTGCCACATAAAGTCAATTTCAAACGCTGCCTTCGCTCAAGTCCGTCGGTACATTTATAGAAAGATGAGACAGTGTGTCTGTGCCCCCCCCCCGCAGAGGGGCTACGTCTGCTGAGGGGCATTTTTGGAGACACCAAGGGAAAGAAAAAAAAAACAAAAAAAAAACAAACACACACTCCGTGTCATTAGATGGACGAAGACAGGGTGAGTACCAGTGGGGACAGAGGAGGAAGAGCGCAGGCTGTCAAACTCTGAGAAGTCTTCCTTGGATGTACCATTGGATGTACTGAACAGGTCAAAGTTACCTGGAAGGAGACAAACCCATTCACACAAACACGTGCGACACACACAAAAGACGACAGTAACTCACCAGGTGAACAAAAATTACAGCAGCAACAGAACACAGACGAATGGAGACGTTACGAGTACAAACGTGTGCGGAGATGAGTGAATAGTTAACCCGTAAAGCATGCAGGTGGATGCAATCCTGTTCAGATTTCGTGAGGTCAGAGGTCACCTGTGTACTGGGAGATTCTCTAATCTTCACAGATGGTTGATGATTAACTAAATACCCAAATTAAAAGCTTATTTTTTGATTATTAGGTGAATGAAATGTGTGTGCTTACAAGTGGAAATAATAATTATAAAAAAAAAAACTAAAAAAAACAACGGCGTTTACCTGTGTTGGAGGTTTTAGGGCGGCCTGCTCCAGACCCCCAGGGGTCGGACGCCGGAGCGGAGTCTGCCCAGGGGTCGCTGGCCTTCATGGCAGGCAGAGTTGCAGGAGCAGCCCAGGGGTCGGGTGGCACCGACGGCCGAGGAGCAGAGCCTGGGAAGAGAGGCGAGTAAAAATAACAATGTTTATGCAGAAACAAGCTCTGGTAGGGAGGTGGAATATTTTTTAAGTTGGCTAAAATCTAAAGGCATAAATACATAAAAAAAAATAGTCATAATATTAGAAAACAGACAAAACTTTATATATATATATATATATATATATATATATATATATAAGGATCTGGTGTGATCAGCTCAGTTCATGTGGTTCTGTCATCAAAATAGACTTGGTTGTTTGTACAACTGTTTCAAAGTACTATTACTGATAATGCAATGTTGATGTGTTAAAAGATGTTTCTATTAAGTATTATTTGTAAAAACCTATATGAAATAACTTCACAAGATGCTCAACATTCCTCATTTTATTTTAGTTTTTTTATTTTCCATGTTGGAGTTCTAATATTACAACCTTATTCTGGTGATTAAAACAAATCTGAGCCTGACTCCAATATTCCATCACAGAGTTTAACTTAATTTAAAGTTAACATAAACAGGAACTTTAAAACACACTTGTCAAACAAGAAGTTCTGTCTTAGGCATGCTGACATCACTCTGAACTGTAGAAACCCAAGGAGAGCACAAAAAACTAAAATAAAATACATTTAAAAATCCATGTTTTCCAAAAATGACATTTTCAAAAACGAAAAATTTGATGAATTGATAAAAATTGATTCATCGCTCAGCCGTACTGTCTGTCTTCTTACAGTGGTAAGTGGCTACCATTCTGTAAATGCAGCCAAAGATGAGGGCAGTTTTTAAAAAGGAAACGTTCTCCGGCTCCTCAAGAGCAGCAACATACCTGCTGTCAGCAGAAAAGTACCAGAACCCAACGATGTGATGTGCAAAATAAACAAACAAACAAAAAAAAAAAAGCACATCTGACTGTAACAGGGTGTGCAGCATAACGAGACAGGGGGAGCCAACATGGCCTATTAGTGTGAGCTTAATGGACACATCCTGCTCCCTGTTGCTTGACTGAAAGTAGTGTTACACTTTTATCTCCCCAAGAATCCCTTCCTGCATCACAAACGCCCTGCACTCCCTTTCTTCACAATCTCTTCCTCTAACTCACTCCCTGCTCCCAGAGCAGCAATGCTGCCGAGCCAGCCGAGCCGCATTCCGATTAAACAAAGACTCACAGTCCAGAGAGCTGCAGGTGGAGAGCAGCGATGCCTTTCATACACACACACACACACACACACACAGCCACTTTACTCTGTTCCTCTCCAGAATGACAGTAAGGATGTGGATCTTTCCCAGTAAGAATGTGTGTGTGTGTGTGTGTGTGTGTGTGTGTTTACCATAAGGCTGCCACGGGTCTCCTGATGCAGCTGCAGCTCTGGCTCCGGCCCCGCCCCCCATCCCCCAGGGGTCAGACTTGGGACCTGGCTCAGGGACATTCATTAGATCCATCAAAGATGACTGTGGCTACAAAGAAGAAGAAAGAAGAGTTTAGGAAGCTGGGAAAAAAGGATGAAAAAAAAAACAACTAATTCACTGAAATAATAATTGAGTTCTGTTCGGCATGTACAGCACAGATCACCAGCCGGACATCAGCAAAGTAAAGAAAACGGAGACAGATAAAGCTGTTTCAAGCGCATATCTGAGTGAATGTAATGACTGAGTCGCCATAGCTGTCAGATTCCACGCGCGTCTTTACCTCCTTCTTCTTCTTGGGGAGCTTTGCTGAGCCTGGATCTTCTTTCTTACTCTCCTCCAAGGCCATCTGTAGTCTCAGGTCGTCACCTCTGCGTAGGCGCTCCTCCTAAACACACACCGAGTCTGAATTAGCAGCCGGCGTACGTCTTGAGCCAGAGGTGTCCAAACTGTGGCCGGGGGGCCATTTGTGGACTCCGAATGACACAAATTTGTCCCAGCGGTGCAGGCGGTTGACTTTTTTTTTTTTGCCCTAATTAGGAACAGAACTATGCCCCACGAATTAAAATCTTCTCACAGCAATGTCAGATTTAACACAAAGTATTCATCTATTAATAACCAAGTTTCCCGTTTACTCTTTAACTTCATAGGAAACAGAAACATATCTTTCCATTGAGTTAATCTCTGAAGTAGATCTTGGCACACCTAAACCTGCTTTTAATTACATTATGTAAAACTTTACCAAGTGTAAAAAAAAAAAAAAAAAAAAAAAGAGTGACCTAAGTTATGTTTTTATTACTGAGAATAGCTCCTGTGGAAGCTACCATTTTTCAGTTTTCTTCAATAAAGTCGAAAATAAAGTAGTAAAGTAATATGGAAAACATGCAAAATCTTTTGGATTTATAAAGACTGACGCATCTCTTTCCGTCCGAAGGATCCATTTCATTTACTCAACTAAAACCTTTCATACCATGTTTACTGTCAAGGAGGTTAAATTAAATAAAACTTAATAATTTTAGTTTTTAAAATAACATTTTTTTTTTTTTGGCTCGAATGTACTCCTGCTGAGGATTTTGGCCCACGTTACAGAAGTTTACACACTTCTATCTTATACCATGCACAAGCCACAGCATGTACATATGTATCCGTTTTAACTAATATCTGTTAGTGATTAAAGCTGAGATTTGACACACAATAAGGGAGGAACGGACGCATGTCGGAGCATGTGTCTGGGACGATGTGTGCATACCTGCTCGGCTGCTTCTCTGCTCATGGCCAAGGCGAGCTGCAGCTGGAGCTCCTCTTCTCCACTGGTCTGAGGTCTGGCCTGCTCCAGCTCTGAGCCCGCATTGGGAGATGTGGCTAAAACACAAATTCAGAGAGCGCGTTAATGTTCAGCATGGAGAATAACTATTAACTATTAAGTACCTTAATGTGCCAAAAGGTAGCTCCATCTTTTCTGTTAACCTGGACGTAATGCTGATAGGGCTGCAAGTAATGCTTATTTTTTTTATTTTTTTTGTAATTGATTATTTATTCTATCGATTACTCTGATGATTAATCAGATTTTTTTTTTAAATGGCATGTTTTGCAGATTTTTCATTCAGTAATTTCAGGATTTTTATTCTATATTACAAATACATTAAAAAATGCAAATAAACATTTTTTTTTATTGCCTAAAATGTAAAAACAAGGCATTCCTTTTGTGTACGTTTGATTATTATAGCAAAGCATACATCTGTAATATTGTGGGTACAACGTATTTACATAGAAACCTTTTNGACTTGAGCCAGGCAGTTTATTTCCGTGGAGAAAGAATGTCTTTTGCCACATAAAGTCAATTTCAAACGCTGCCTTCGCTCAAGTCCGTCGGTACATTTATAGAAAGATGAGACAGTGTGTCTGTGCCCCCCCCCCGCAGAGGGGCTACGTCTGCTGAGGGGCATTTTTGGAGACACCAAGGGAAAGAAAAAAAAAACAAAAAAAAAACAAACACACACTCCGTGTCATTAGATGGACGAAGACAGGGTGAGTACCAGTGGGGACAGAGGAGGAAGAGCGCAGGCTGTCAAACTCTGAGAAGTCTTCCTTGGATGTACCATTGGATGTACTGAACAGGTCAAAGTTACCTGGAAGGAGACAAACCCATTCACACAAACACGTGCGACACACACAAAAGACGACAGTAACTCACCAGGTGAACAAAAATTACAGCAGCAACAGAACACAGACGAATGGAGACGTTACGAGTACAAACGTGTGCGGAGATGAGTGAATAGTTAACCCGTAAAGCATGCAGGTGGATGCAATCCTGTTCAGATTTCGTGAGGTCAGAGGTCACCTGTGTACTGGGAGATTCTCTAATCTTCACAGATGGTTGATGATTAACTAAATACCCAAATTAAAAGCTTATTTTTTGATTATTAGGTGAATGAAATGTGTGTGCTTACAAGTGGAAATAATAATTATAAAAAAAAAAACTAAAAAAAACAACGGCGTTTACCTGTGTTGGAGGTTTTAGGGCGGCCTGCTCCAGACCCCCAGGGGTCGGACGCCGGAGCGGAGTCTGCCCAGGGGTCGCTGGCCTTCATGGCAGGCAGAGTTGCAGGAGCAGCCCAGGGGTCGGGTGGCACCGACGGCCGAGGAGCAGAGCCTGGGAAGAGAGGCGAGTAAAAATAACAATGTTTATGCAGAAACAAGCTCTGGTAGGGAGGTGGAATATTTTTTAAGTTGGCTAAAATCTAAAGGCATAAATACATAAAAAAAAATAGTCATAATATTAGAAAACAGACAAAACTTTATATATATATATATATATATATATATATATATATATAAGGATCTGGTGTGATCAGCTCAGTTCATGTGGTTCTGTCATCAAAATAGACTTGGTTGTTTGTACAACTGTTTCAAAGTACTATTACTGATAATGCAATGTTGATGTGTTAAAAGATGTTTCTATTAAGTATTATTTGTAAAAACCTATATGAAATAACTTCACAAGATGCTCAACATTCCTCATTTTATTTTAGTTTTTTTATTTTCCATGTTGGAGTTCTAATATTACAACCTTATTCTGGTGATTAAAACAAATCTGAGCCTGACTCCAATATTCCATCACAGAGTTTAACTTAATTTAAAGTTAACATAAACAGGAACTTTAAAACACACTTGTCAAACAAGAAGTTCTGTCTTAGGCATGCTGACATCACTCTGAACTGTAGAAACCCAAGGAGAGCACAAAAAACTAAAATAAAATACATTTAAAAATCCATGTTTTCCAAAAATGACATTTTCAAAAACGAAAAATTTGATGAATTGATAAAAATTGATTCATCGCTCAGCCGTACTGTCTGTCTTCTTACAGTGGTAAGTGGCTACCATTCTGTAAATGCAGCCAAAGATGAGGGCAGTTTTTAAAAAGGAAACGTTCTCCGGCTCCTCAAGAGCAGCAACATACCTGCTGTCAGCAGAAAAGTACCAGAACCCAACGATGTGATGTGCAAAATAAACAAACAAACAAAAAAAAAAAAGCACATCTGACTGTAACAGGGTGTGCAGCATAACGAGACAGGGGGAGCCAACATGGCCTATTAGTGTGAGCTTAATGGACACATCCTGCTCCCTGTTGCTTGACTGAAAGTAGTGTTACACTTTTATCTCCCCAAGAATCCCTTCCTGCATCACAAACGCCCTGCACTCCCTTTCTTCACAATCTCTTCCTCTAACTCACTCCCTGCTCCCAGAGCAGCAATGCTGCCGAGCCAGCCGAGCCGCATTCCGATTAAACAAAGACTCACAGTCCAGAGAGCTGCAGGTGGAGAGCAGCGATGCCTTTCATACACACACACACACACACACACACAGCCACTTTACTCTGTTCCTCTCCAGAATGACAGTAAGGATGTGGATCTTTCCCAGTAAGAATGTGTGTGTGTGTGTGTGTGTGTGTGTGTGTTTACCATAAGGCTGCCACGGGTCTCCTGATGCAGCTGCAGCTCTGGCTCCGGCCCCGCCCCCCATCCCCCAGGGGTCAGACTTGGGACCTGGCTCAGGGACATTCATTAGATCCATCAAAGATGACTGTGGCTACAAAGAAGAAGAAAGAAGAGTTTAGGAAGCTGGGAAAAAAGGATGAAAAAAAAAACAACTAATTCACTGAAATAATAATTGAGTTCTGTTCGGCATGTACAGCACAGATCACCAGCCGGACATCAGCAAAGTAAAGAAAACGGAGACAGATAAAGCTGTTTCAAGCGCATATCTGAGTGAATGTAATGACTGAGTCGCCATAGCTGTCAGATTCCACGCGCGTCTTTACCTCCTTCTTCTTCTTGGGGAGCTTTGCTGAGCCTGGATCTTCTTTCTTACTCTCCTCCAAGGCCATCTGTAGTCTCAGGTCGTCACCTCTGCGTAGGCGCTCCTCCTAAACACACACCGAGTCTGAATTAGCAGCCGGCGTACGTCTTGAGCCAGAGGTGTCCAAACTGTGGCCGGGGGGCCATTTGTGGACTCCGAATGACACAAATTTGTCCCAGCGGTGCAGGCGGTTGACTTTTTTTTTTTTGCCCTAATTAGGAACAGAACTATGCCCCACGAATTAAAATCTTCTCACAGCAATGTCAGATTTAACACAAAGTATTCATCTATTAATAACCAAGTTTCCCGTTTACTCTTTAACTTCATAGGAAACAGAAACATATCTTTCCATTGAGTTAATCTCTGAAGTAGATCTTGGCCCACCTAAACCTGCTTTTAATTACATTATGTAAAACTTTACCAAGTGTAAAAAAAAAAAAGAAAAAAAAAAGAGTGACCTAAGTTATGTTTTTATTACTGAGAATAGCTCCTGTGGAAGCTACCATTTTTCAGTTTTCTTCAATAAAGTCGAAAATAAAGTAGTAAAGTAATATGGAAAACATGCAAAATCTTTTGGATTTATAAAGACTGACGCATCTCTTTCCGTCCGAAGGATCCATTTCATTTACTCAACTAAAACCTTTCATACCATGTTTACTGTCAAGGAGGTTAAATTAAATAAAACTTAATAATTTTAGTTTTTAAAATAACATTTTTTTTTTTTTGGCTCGAATGTACTCCTGCTGAGGATTTTGGCCCACGTTACAGAAGTTTACACACTTCTATCTTATACCATGCACAAGCCACAGCATGTACATATGTATCCGTTTTAACTAATATCTGTTAGTGATTAAAGCTGAGATTTGACACACAATAAGGGAGGAACGGACGCATGTCGGAGCATGTGTCTGGGACGATGTGTGCATACCTGCTCGGCTGCTTCTCTGCTCATGGCCAAGGCGAGCTGCAGCTGGAGCTCCTCTTCTCCACTGGTCTGAGGTCTGGCCTGCTCCAGCTCTGAGCCCGCATTGGGAGATGTGGCTAAAACACAAATTCAGAGAGCGCGTTAATGTTCAGCATGGAGAATAACTATTAACTATTAAGTACCTTAATGTGCCAAAAGGTAGCTCCATCTTTTCTGTTAACCTGGACGTAATGCTGATAGGGCTGCAAGTAATGCTTATTTTTTTTATTTTTTTTGTAATTGATTATTTATTCTATCGATTACTCTGATGATTAATCAGATTTTTTTTTTAAATGGCATGTTTTGCAGATTTTTCATTCAGTAATTTCAGGATTTTTATTCTATATTACAAATACATTAAAAAATGCAAATAAACATTTTTTTTATTGCCTAAAATGTAAAAACAAGGCATTCCTTTTGTGTACGTTTGATTATTATAGCAAAGCATACATCTGTAATATTGTGGGTACAACGTATTTACATAGAAACCTTTTGTTTATTTATTTTTTACAGTTCTGACTTAAATATTGCTCTGTGTGTGATGTCCTTTCAGCAAACGGCCTTTTTTTTTTGAGTCTGCATACTACAGTTAACAAGCGTTTACTAAATTAGTTGATGATTTCAACTATCAAATCGTTTCAGCCCAACATGCAGAATAAGAACAGAAAAACAAACTGGTTTTAGACACAATTTATGTAAACAAAATAAACTTAATTGCAGCATTTGATTTCAAGTGTTTAAAAAAAAAAAAAGGTGTGACTGGATGATGTGTGAAACCCTTAAGACAACAGGTTCTCTCATATACTTGGATTAGGACAGTCCATAGTGGCAGCCAAGCGCTGCACGTGGCACACTCTCCACCGGGCCAGAAAAATGCAACTGGCACACGCTCGTTAAGGTAGCTTACACCATTTACTCCAAGCCCACTTTTGACTCGCTGCAGTTGGAAGCCACGAATTTCAAAATAAGGGCCCTCTATGACTCGTGTGAAAGATGTGGGTTTGTTGGCGTTTTCAAAATGTAAAACGTTCAAATGTTTCCCTCCCCAGTTCTCTTTCCAGCGTGACCAGAACCGTGTTTGATGCGTAGGCTGCGCCCATAAACGCCGAGTCGAACAAAGGAACACCGACACAAATATGTTGTGACGGTTTCCCGGTGCGACGAGGCAAACTTCACACCCAACACTCCAAATATGACTGACATCCACCTGCCTGTGACGACGCTTCAGACACGTCAGTCTGATCTCTGCACACGCACAAAACGCCTGACGTCAAATCTTTCCGTTATTTAGGGAAGTGGAGACGCCGACCTCAATAATTAAATCGACCTGGCAGTCAGAGAATGCAGCTGACAACAGGTTTTAAAAATCACACAAACCACCCCAGGGAACAACTCAAAATAATACTTGCGGTCATGAATCGAAACAATTATGACGTGCTGACATCATTTTGTCGACACCATTGAGTGGTCTGCCGACTCGTACTGAATCGGCTCTGATCTGATCTCTGCATCTATCAATATTGGAAATATTTAAAATCATTAAATAACATAACTGCATTCAAGTTTTTTTTTTTTTGTTATATATTTACATCACATTTTATCCTTCAGGCAAAAACATACAAAAAAAATGTAATAGTGTTTAGTGACCCTCGGAGCATCATGTTGCCACCACCGTGTCTCACTATGGCGACTGTGTGACATTATCGTTTTTCACTATGGCGATGGTGTTTTCAGTGTTTTGAGAGAAGTGTTAGTTTTCCTCCACACAGTTTTTTTAAGGTTTCGGCAGGTTTCAGCAACTCAAATTTAAAACTGAAGACATTTTTAAGACGCTTATGAGTGAAATTTACCTCCACAGAAACGTACGAACTTCGTCTAGTCAACTGGCGATAAGTTTGAACTTATCTGTGATAAATGCAAAAAATGCTACCTAGCTAGCAAGGGCATGTTAGCACAGTGGGTTACTGGTAGTCTGAGTCTCAAATATTAGATCCATGAATTTAAGGCCTTTTAAGGATGCGAGGACACCCTGGTTTTACATGAAGGCCAAATGGTTTTTGGGCTCATCTGGTTGGACCAGGGTCAGAAAACTGCATGTTTTAAGCGTTTCCCTGCTTTGGCACACCTGATTTAATCAGATGGCTGACTGACAGGCTTGTGCTGAACTGCAGATGCTTAAAACAGGTGTGTTAGAGTTGGGAAGCATTTAAAACATGCAGGGCAGTGTGCCTTGAGGAGTAAGAGATGGAAAACATTGGGTTAGAGCTTCTTCTGCACTTTTGCTTATAAAAAAAAAAAAAAAATTCAAATCTGGTGTTTTATCTTTAAAACAGCCAGTTCAAATCGTGACACCGGATTAACTAGCAAGAAATCTTAATAAACGTGAAGTCGACACTGTGATTGATAAGAACTTTTCCCTATTCAACCTCAATAAGTCGCATCCAGTTCGCATCTTTAGATTCACACACACTGCCTCATTCTGGCCGTCTGTCGACAAAACTACACGTGCCAAGGGAAAGTGACCGGGGTGGATTTTCATTTGTATTTAACAGAGATGTACTTCCTTAGCAGATTAAAGCAGAGTCAGAGTCAAAAGCAGCTGCATGTCTTCCTTAAATAAACTCCCAACAATAACACATTTGGGACACACAACTGTCAGATACATGAGAATAAAGACAAAAAGATTTGGTTCTATCAAAAGAAACGTTTGAGCTCATGGGTTTAATAAAGTTGAACGGCAAAAAAGAAGGAACATGGTGGCATTACTTCAACATGCAACACTTCTAAGGCTTATAAAACACTATGCCAACTAAAACACACCGCTGTGGGAGTAGACCATATACGGCATACTGTTTAAACGCAGCTGCGCCTACATGAGGAGGGGGGGCAAGAATGTCTGAAACTTTGATTCTCATCTACTCTTCTGCCATTTCCTGCCAACTTCAGACTCCCTGAGGACTACGCAACTCTAACTAGGAATAGAAGGCTGCATTTTCAGAAAGTAGAACACCCTGGTGTCACCTCTGGTGGATTTACGGACTGCTAATGGTATACAGCATTTTAAAATCAAAGGGAAGAGTCAGGAAATCCCGTCACATTCGCAGACATGTCGTCTCTTGCGTCGGGAGATAAGTGGGAGGCAGAGTCCAAATGTGAAAGCGAACTAAAACCCGCCAAACACAGAAATCAAACGTTCATGCGTTACATGAAGCTTTACTCCTAAACTTTGAATATCTGCCGTCGCAGCTGCAGTCGTTCGCTCATTCACTCGCGCCACGTCTGGACAACAATACTCAGAAGGTTTGACTGGAATCCCAAAAATCCCACGTCACCTCCCACGACGGCGGCCCGACTCAACTCCAACTGGGTCTCCGCTGACGAGTCAGCTGCTGAGGTTTTAGTCATAACGGGCAGAAGAAGAAGAAGAAGAAGAGCTTCGAGCATATACACACTACAATCCAACAAACTAACTACCTATATGCATGATACGTATTGTAAATTGTATTCAATATTATCAAGTGGTACATTTATTAAATTAATATTTAAAGATCAAAGTCAAATTAAAATCATGTAAAGTAAGGTATTTAATCTTTTTTTTTTTTTTGCACAAAAAAAGTGCAAGCCATTAAAAGAGATCAAATAGACCTTCTGATTGGTTAACATGCAGAGCAGATAAACTGCAGACCAATCACTTTGTCTGTAGCAGTGCTCACCCCGCCCAGCGACTTTTATGAGTAACGTAGATGAAATTGACTATCTATGCTCTGATGTATAATGAATAATTATTTCAATATCTATTTACCAAATTAATTAAACATACACTTGTTTGCAAATGCAGTTATTTAATTTCCACTTTTATACAAATTGCATGTAGACATTTACTAAGGCAGTTACTGATGCGCTGAACGGCGGCACTTCTGACCCTCCATACGGCTGCATCGCATCTAAACCACGCAGGTTAAAACGGCGTGTGAGGCCACAGACAGACGAGACCCAACAGGCATCCCTGCAGACACAGTCGTCCTGCTGGGTGCAAAGGAATGGAGGTCAGAGTGTGAAAGGAAAAGAGGCCAGGGTTCACCCTTTCATTTCATCTCCACTGTGGTAACCTACTTTGCAAATGCGACTCATCTTTTCTTTCTTCTCTTTTTTTTTATATATATATATTTGTGACCTCTTCCTTGCGATCATTTTCTAACTAATTACAATTCCCCACGGACTATATTTGACTCATAGAGTAATGTGCATGACCTTTTTGGGTTTTTTTAAACTAGAACAGTTCCTCTAAAATGATAAGTCATCAGTGACGCCTGCTGCACTGTCACTGTTTCGGGAGAAATGAGCCCATCAGTTGAAAACGCGAGCAGATTCCTCTGTCATGTGTATAAAAGATGATTTTAGGGACGGGGGGTGGGGGGGGGGAGTTTGGTGTGGGTGGTGATCTTCTTCCTCTTCTGTTTGTGTGTGGGGGAGTGGAAAAGAGCTGAGGAATGCAGCCCTGGTGCAGAATGGCCAGGCAGGGATGGAGCGGGGGGAGGGGAAGGTGACGGCCTCATGGTTTTAGGCAGAAGTGGCGCTTCCTGATATACGGTGACAACAGCTGATTTAGTCCTTCTTTATCTGGCGTTTAAACATGGGGGGACCGAACCCCGTGGGGCCTCCGTAACGTCTGACATACTTACAGCCGTGGTAGGAGGCGGGGGAGCCCTCCGACCTGCCGTACTCTTCGCTGTAGGATGTGGAGAGGTTGGGCTGGGACGAGCCTCGGCCGAAGCCCATCTGAGTGCTCCCTGTGGACACCTGGGCCATGCGCTCCTTAGTCTTCAAAGCCTGAGACCTAGCATGACCAAAACAACAAAAAAAAACAAACAGGAAGCGTTCATATCGTTTTGACCTCTGCCGGTTCAAATCTGAGCAGGAGGAAGTAGCGAAACAGGAAATAACATGGCAGCCAGTCAAGATTTTTGGTCCGTCTCCAAAAGTGTAAATTCAGTGATTCATGATTAGTACAGGTAGTTTTACTGTACAGAAGAGGAAGAAGAAAAAAGGACAAGCAAATAATAAAACAAAATGAACAGACTGGTGGATTAATAGAAAAGTTTGCAAAAAAAAAAAAAATAGGACGACACGGGGATTCACTGGGTCCAAATGATTTTAAACTTATATTTAAACAGACCACTTGGATGGACAAAAATGGAAGAATGACTACATTTTACAAAATAATTTTCTTTTCTTTTAAATCAATATGTGTATTAATGGATGGAATAAAAAGAGAAATTGACGAATGGAAATAGAAAGATGGAAAGAGAAAGACAGAGAAAGCAATATTTTTGCTTTTTCTTCCTTTTTTTAATAGTTACACAAACTCGGGGGAAAAAGTTAAATCAAATTTGACGTTTCCAGACTGTGTAGGAAACCTGTGTCTTTGGAGATCAGAGTCAAACTGTACTAAGAGGAAATCTGCAAACAAAATCCAGAATCACAGAAAACCAGAAGATCATCTCAACACAGCGACATCTCGCCAAAACGGTTTTCTCAAACGCAAAAGCAAATTTTGTCTTTTTTTTTTTTTTTTCTGCCATTCCACAGCTATAAAATTTTCCATTCTTAAAATATTTACCACCAACACAAAGTCCAACAATTTAGTTTCATTAAACCCGTAGCTTTGGTGTTTGGTAATTTGCTGGATTATGTAAGCAGTGTTTTCTGCAAGACATCCTGCCATTTCATCTTCTCAGTTTAAACACGACAGAAGAAAAAAAAAAAAAAAAAAACCAAAATGTTTGCTGCATAAATACTGAAAAGTAAAAGACTTTTCACTAAGTTTTGTTTATGCAGCAGACCGCTTCAGATTGGAGAGGAACATTCTGATGTATTTACTTTTTTATCAATGTTAGTTGATAAAATAAAAAAAATATTCTCCATATGAATCAACCAAAGATAATATTTCAGACCGAAAACTGTCCGATTCTTAGATTCGCTGTGATTAATGATCAATATCAGGCCGACTGACTGATGTATCTCCACTATGGAGTAAAGGATTTAACAACTGTTTCAGTTTTTGATGTCAACCAAAACATAAATGTATTAATGCAGATACAGACTGAATTACAGTAATACAAACTATTTCTTAAAGGAGCAGTAATACGTGTTTTCCAGCCACATCATGTCATCTTATACCACAATTAAGTAACTGTGTCACTTTCAGTTGTTAAAAGAAGTTTGACTTTGCAATTTAACACCTTGAAATTCGGCCTCTGTCTCTTTAAGAAGCTCCTGCTATTTCCCACACTCTACATTCAGAGCGTTTCTTCATTAAGCTAAAAAGTCGATTTTACATAAATTTGTGATTGACCTCACCTCTCTCCTTTAAGGCGCTCCTCGTCCTTCAGCAGCACCACCAGCTGCTTGCTCTTCTCTCTGACGTTGATGCCCTGGTCTTTGCCGTCTTTGTCGATGTACTGGAAGTCCTTGAGGGTCTGGATGGCGAAAATGTTCTCCTTGCACTGCAGCGCCACCCTCTCCGAGCCCGTCTTTATCAGGTAGTCGAGCAGCGTGAGCGCTTTGTAGACGTGGCGCCAGTTCTTCCCGTGGTCGTTCAGCCGCTTCCAGATCATGTTCATGATCTCGCTGAAGGCCACCACGTTGTAGGTGAGGTCAGCCACCTCGGACATGAGCGAGGACGAGGGGCCCCACGGGTCGTTGGACGTGGCCTCTCTGACCTTCTTCTCGGCGTCAGAGTAATTGTTGACCATGTTTTTCATCTGCCGGCGGATGGTGCTTGGCATGGTGGCGGTGAGGTTGCGACAAAGAGGAAGAATTAATATAAAAACAAAACGAAAACGGAGAGGAGCTTGGGCTCTGGTAGTGTTGGGAATGAAGGAGAAGTTTGTAAAGTCCACGTGTCTGTGTGTCCTCAATAGACGTTTATCCTTTTGTGTAAAGTGTCACGTATGCTTAAGAGGTTTCTTCAGGCCAGCGCAGTGTTCCTGAGTCCTCCAGAAGAGCATCTGTTAAAACCATCTCCACACACGCAGTGCAGGCAGTACACAAGACCACGCCATCACCTAAACAACACACACAGCAGATGAGTGTAAGGACATGGGGAAAAAAAGCAAAAAGAAAAAAAAAGTATAAACAATTACTGTGGGATAATATGTGCTCATCTCTCCAGAAGTTCTCGCCGCGATCCTGATTTACACACCTCAACAATAACATGGTGTTGAATTGCATTTATAGAGGCAGTTGTAGTGGCTTCCGTTTTGAAACCAGACAAACATGTTTCATACTTTCAGATAAGCACTTTCCATGCCTGCCCACTTCAGATGACACGGGGCCCCGCGTGTTGTGAAAAGAATGGCGTTTCAGCTTTCACAAGATCATCTGCGTTTACAGTAACTCGACACAATGGCAAATTAGAAGGTAGGCAGCTGAACATGAGTAATGTCTGGAGCGCTAGCTCCGCGTGTTCAAACCTCTTGGAGAAAACGAGGTGGTGATGGTGCACTCTGGGTGGACAAGGAGGGAAGTTGACTGACTAAAGTATGGAACAAAGTATATTTACAACCCTCTGGGTTACAAACTCTGGTACGAGAACCACTGGAGATACCTCGGCTGCCTTTAGCACAGTTTTACTGAAATTCTTTCAAGGAAATTACGAACAAATTAACTGTGCACAGAGCACTGTGTGCACTACATGGTCATTTTCGGACGATTATCCATAAAAGTCTCAAAAAGGAAGTGAACAACAGAGACCCGGAAACAAGAACATGAATATGTTGTGTTCATTTCACCTCAGAGTCAAAACTCCTAGGAATACCATCCAAACTCAACCTGCCTGTAGTTCTGTTGCAACTGCAACAAGCAGTGAGCTTTGCTAATTGATGTGCACAGGGCCCAGGCTAACCACTACTAGCAATTTAAGCTAATTATGGATTTTTCTGGATTTTGAACTTGCTCACCTAAGGAGATTTTATAATAGTGCATGAAAAGTTAACAAGGTAAAAAAAAAAAAATAAAAAATAAAAATAGAACACATGCCAAAACAAAACAACAAAACATAGTGCAGATATGTCTAGCTTTAATGCATTTCAGGCTTTTGCACCAATGTATCCTCTGGTTTCATTTTAAACATGCCATTAGCAATTAAAATACCCAAACTGAAGTCTTGCGACAGAATCCATAATATAGCGTTGTTGAGAGAGCAGCATTAGGTGACTATAACTTCATTTGAACATAATGTGGGGAACTTATGCAATGTTCTGCAGAAACTCAGTACTTTGTTATATTTGTGAAACTTGAATAACAGTAAATGTTGACCTCTTTGGAAGATTGGCATTAACAGCAGTGACTGTAAGGAAATATTTACAAAAAATGTATTTAAAAAAAACTGAAAGGAAATATAAAGTTTTCCCAAACGAGTAACAATTACATAAGTTACTGTTATTCAAGTTTACTACTAAGAAATCTAAGCAAAGTAGACATGGCAACTTAATCTTGATTTGACAAAGTGAAACCTGGTAATAAATAAAAGACAAAATACAGAAGAAAATCCATTTACCTGCCAGAACACTGAGAGCAAAGAAGTAGCCAGAGGCTGGAATTAAGTTTATTTTCCACTGATTGGTTTTGATTATTGACTGGTAGATCAAATACAGAAAAATCTAAGTAGTAATATCTCTTAATTTATCAATCTAATAGAATGTACTAAATATTTTTACACATATAATTTTACTGATAGCAATTCTGCAAATTCTCTTGCAAAAAAAAAAAAATATCCAGGAGAATTTTCAGATCTTCTCTTTCCCTTTTGATTCTCAAATATACAAATGTAAACAAAAGTACAGATGTTCTTTGATCCTGCAAAGCCTGACTGTATGACAAAATGTGTTTCCACCACATGGTGGGTGGCAGACAAAAAAAATTAAAAAAAAATAGAGATGAGGTCTTATAAATAGCACTTCCTGACAAATATAGAAAGTGAGAGTAAACTGTGCTACACCTCCATGTTCCACATAAAACCTCTAGACCATGAGAACCTCAGTGTTGTAGTGCAATGAGTCTACGTTTTAACAAGTGCTGCAGTCAGGTGGAAAGAATAGAAAAACAATTCTCTGAAATACGGGGCTCATTTGGAAACTGCATAATGCTTACTGACTCAGCTGATCTCGCTCAAGTCGATGTAAAAGTTTTCTGCGTCCTCTCCATCTGCCATGTAGGTAAGACCAGTGATGACTTATGCAACTCTGTAATCTGATCTCTGCATTGAGCAAACAAGCCACACCCACACCAAGTGCTTTCACAATGAATTTTGATTTCTGTGCAAATTGAGCGTTTAGACTTAATAACGTAATTTGCTCTTTCTGAAAAACCATCGAGCGGCTATTTGCGCTGGCCCTCGTGCTCATTTCGCAGACTTCCTGCCAAGCAATGCCACAGACGAACAGCTGAAGCCAACACAGGAAAGGAAACAAAGAGTGTATGTTTTTTTATGGGATAATAAAACAAGTTGGCACATCCCATAAATTCACTAAACGCCAGGCGAAACGTGATCCCTGTGGAGCACTCCCTCCCTCCAAAATCCAAATCCCTCATCACCCGCCACTCCCTCCCCCCCCAAACTCTGCATCCGCATGAATGCAGCTCAGACCTAATGACACATCTGCTGCTATAATCACCTATTCACCCGAAGCTGACAGGAGGAAGAGAGGAGAGTCTGTCTCGTCCATCCCACCCCCCCGTTTCGTCCCGGAACAACGCCCCCCC